AAAGAAGAAATTAACTTTCCCTCACGAGCTGAAGAAGCATTTGTGGGCGGCCTCTGCTGGGTACTGTCTGGGGCTGGTGCCTGGGTGCTCTCCGTACCACGGGGACCTGGATTAAGTGAACTCCTGCCTTCCCGTGTCCCCCCCCCTCCGTGTACAAGGAGGCGGGACGCTGGTGTTCAGCGCCTCCTGTAACAGCTAGAAGACCAGTGATCGTCACAGGTGCTTTCTGCTGGTTCCCTGGACCACGTTGTGAGAATGAAAGATGAAGGAACACTGTTCCGTACACTGAATTGAGAGTGGGATGTGTATGTGTGCGGGGTTGTTTCCGAAAGACTGAGGCCTTCCTTGGCTCGTAAAGAGAAGACCTGACAGTAGGTGGCAGCCCTGGACTCTGCATCAGGGTCCCTGGACCTCATCTTCCACCACCTCAGGGTGTTCAGACTCCTTTGGAAGGTTGTAGCACTAATAATATGTTGTAATTGCAAAAAAAACTGAACTCAATCTTGGGTGCACCCTTAGGCTTCTGATAATGGGGTGAGAATAATTGACTGCCTTTTCCTGTCTCCACATCAGTCTCCCAGAGGGCTCCTGTCTGAGCAGTCAGTGCTGGGCTCAGGCAAGAGGGCGCCCAGGGAGCGTGCTCCAGGCTCGGTACTGGGGACAGATGTGCTTGCTGAGTGAATCTTTGATACTTGAAATGTTTACAGCGCGTTCCTCTTCAACAGGCTGTTCTATGCTTTCATTTCCCCAAGGTCCCTTAGAGAGAAGACATGCAACTCATCTTACTTAAAAAAAAAGGAATTATCTTTTTTAATTGGGCGGGACAGGTTACAGGTTCTCCTCCCTTAGCATTGCCCATGGGTGTCTGAGGGAAATCAGACAGCAGTGGCATTCATGGGCAGCTCACCAAGTGCCTGTGGGTTAAACTGATCTGCTAGAAGACTGGAAGGAGGCCGGGTCAGGCTGTCTCCTGCAACAGGGCTGTCCACGCCCTCCTGGCCCCCTCCCCCCCTTGGGCCTTGGAACTTGTCTCCAGGCGGCTGTTTTCCCAACAAGCTAAAGCAGAACTTACCTGAAAAGCTACCTGTAAGAGCTCTGAGCTGCCCTGACCCCTGTTGTTTCAGCCCTCATGCCCCAGAGCAATGCAGGGAGCCTGCCCTGAACTTGCTGGACTGGCAGCAAACATGGGGGAGGCCCACAGAAGTAAAACGGTGTCACAGGAGGAGGAACCATTTCTCCAGTGATTCCAAGTGGCCCAGGATGCTCTCAGATTGAGCCTCTGTCCACCTGGCTCCTCTGTGCTTCCCTCTCTCCTCCCGGCCCCCAGCCCACCCGGACAGAGCGCCGCGCTGAGCAGCTTATTCCTCCTCCCCTTCTCATTCTCCTGTGCCTGGCACTCCCCACCCCTTGTTTTTCTTTCGGTGGAAAATCAGAGAAACCTAATGTGGCTTGTTCTTTAACCCTGGGAAAAGATCTGCTGTGTGTGGAGCACCTGCCCCACGGGGGGAGCTGGTACCTACCACCAGGAGCAGAGCTCTTATTGCCAAGGCCTTTTGCAGATGACCTGTCAGGAAAACCCACCCTGCCCTCCACACCAACAGAACCGGCAGAGGAGCTGGAGAAAGAGAATCTGCTAAATATAGACCGATGGACAGAGCGCTCCTCCTGCAGGAGCTGCAGCCTGTAACAGAGCCATCGGGAGACGTCACCTCCCTTCTCTTCCTTTTTTGCTCGGGCACTAAACCAGTGTAGTTCTCCCAGCTGTGTGCAGTTAGAGCACCGGGATGCGAGGTATGTTGACTGTGAGGCCTTGTTGGGAGACGAGGTGAGAGCACTGGGAACAAAATGATCATTAGAGGCCGTTCGTGTCGACAACATTTATGCCTCTGTGTTTGCTCACAAGCAGACGCGAGAGCTCATTTGCAAGGCTGCCTTTGTGGAGCTGCCTTCTGATCAATGGTGGCCTGTGTTAATGTTTCAGTAAGCTATTGATTTCTGCAGCAGCTTTTGTTCCCTGAATTTATGTGCAGTGGGTCTCCGTGGCACACACTATGCATGTTTGATTAAAGTTCAATTGACTTCATTCCTGGTGAGGCCCCGAGCTGCTTCACTCCCTATTTGTAGAACCAGGGCTTTTCCCGATGTAGTCTTTTGTTTGTGCTCAAGACCTAGCCACCCATGCAGTCACCAATAGGCTGTGCCTAATCCTCCTAGATTTGCTCCATTCCAATGTTTAATCCCTTCCTAGACATTACTGTGGTGGAGAGGCAGCTGATAAAACCTGGTCTGGATTTTCTTCTTTTTTTTTAATTTGTTAATTTCATTGATGTGTAACTGTGCATACCATATATACTGTAAAAATGCACCACTTAAAGTTGCAGAGTATGGTGAGTTTTGACAACCGGTATAAATAGCATCACAGGTGATTTGTAGAACTTCCTTATCACCCCAAGAGATTTTCTCATGTCCTTTATAGGCAGTTTCCTCCCTCCCCCTCCCCCTCCAGACTCCAGATGACCACTAAATTTGCTTTTAGTGATTATAGATTTGCCTTTTCCAGAATGGAATCACACAGTCTGTGCCCTTTTCTGTCTGGCTGCTTTCACTCAGCACAATGTCTTTGCGCTTCGTCCATGTTGTGTGTTACCAGTAGTTTGTTCTGTTCTACTGACAAATAGTATTCTCGTGAGTGGCTACCAGTTCTCCTGTTGAGGGGCTCTTTAGACTGTTTGCAGTTTTGGGCTACTAAGAGTAAAGTTCCTATGAACATTTGCGTCAAAGTTTGTGCACATGTTTTTATTCCTTTTGGGTAAACACCCTGGAGTGGAATCAGTTGCTAGGTTGTAGGTACATGTTTGTTTGGCTTTGTAGAAACTGCCAGTTTACAAAGTGGTTTGACCATTTTACATTCCCTCCAGCGGTGTGTGAGGTTTCTTGTCACTCCCCCGTCTTCCGGAATACAGACGTTTATAGTCTTTCATGTTGACATCAGCAGCCCTTTGGGCTTGGCCACTTTGATCCCTGGTACTCAGATAATGGAATCTCTTCCAGGTTTCTTGTATAAAAACTTACCTAAGTGTTGTCAGAAAGTTAATATTTATTTCAGTATTAGGTTTGTGTGTGTGTGTGTCCTGATTTTTCTCTCATACTCGGAGAGGACACGATGCAGGAGTGGAGGTTTAAGGTCGTGAACCTGAGCTTTTCCTGAGTTCTTTTTTGTCTGGTGTCTGACGTTGGGCCTGAACCCTGGCTTCCCCTATCTGAATTTGCAAGTCACACCATCTTTTAATACCATTTGAAACTCTCTCAAAATATTCATGTTGGAGAAATTGAAATGATCCGTCGTAGCCGTGTGAGTCAGTGGTACACACAGAGCAGTGCTGTGCAGAAACTTCAGGGCGGCCGTGGTTCACAGCCTTCAGGTCAGACCGAGGTTTGACGGAGACCCTGGTGGTAGTGCCTCCTCACCAGCTTTCTCTCCCGCTGTTTCCTTCTGTGTCCTGTAGCTTCACATTTCCCCCTACCTCCCAGGCCTCTGTCATCCCCTGGCCCCTTCAGCAACTTCAGCTAAAGGAGGAGGTGAGAGGAACCGCTTTGGGTTTTCTCCTTCTTTCTGGCTTTGGGATTGGGCTGTGATTTACAGCACCGGCTGCCTTTTGAACTAATAAAGCACACCACTCTGACACAGTGTTTGAAGGGTGATGGTGACCTGCCCTGGTTCTGTTCTCTGCTTTCTCATAGGAAAACCAGAGCCAGGTCACTTTTTATGTCAGCACAGTTCTCTTAATGCCCTATCGGATTTATAGGATTTATAGATTTGTGCCCTCCAGCCAGCCAACACCAGAAGATCAGTACAGATAAATAAATGACTTTACAAGTCGGGAAGGTAGGAGGTGAAGAGGCAGGACCCAGGAGGTTTCTCAGATGGTGACCTGGGCTCAGGATGCTCCAGTCACCAGGGGGACAGTTGTAGCCCACATTTGTAGAATAACATGTAATAGGCAAGTTAGAAATACACAGGCAGTTACTACCTTTTCCCTTATTCTGGTGCTGTCTCATGGAGCGGAAAAGAGGTGGGGAAGGGTGTGCACGTGCAGGCAGGCGTGTGTGGGCTCGTCCTTGGTGGCTGGCTCCTGGCCTCCTTGGCCTGGGGTCTTGCTTCATGTGTTAAGTCACTAGCCTGTGCACTGCTGAGCCCCTTGGGGCTGGGAGTGCCAAAGATGCCATTTTTTTCAAAGTGCATTTGGGCTCATGTCTGCTTGCAGTGGTTTTTTTAAAAAGATGTCTTGCCTCCCACTCTTCCTGGCTGTACATGAAAAGAGGAGCTCCTTTTTTAGCCTTTAACCCTGTGACATACGACATTTCATCTCTGCACCAGCGCACCGTGTGGTGTGTCCCCACTTGGTCTTTTTCGTCAAGCTCAGTCTTGCCCTGAGGACTCTGCCCGCTTGCCCGCTGCAGGCACTGGGGGGAGCGGCTTTCCTGGTTTTGGGGTCTGTTCTTCCTGGCCTTCCTGCTGGCCTGAGGTCCCACCACCTCAGTTATTTGCTTTGGTTATTTCGGGAACGGTCTAACTGGCCAGGCATTTCCCCGGCACACCCGTGTGGAGTCACTGGGATGCTGTGCGGAGAACATCCTGTGCGTGCACACATGCACCCACTTACGCACAGAGAGGGCAGGGATTTTCCTTTCTGTCGATTGTTCAGTGATGCAATGCAGCTCTGGTGCTTAGCACAGTGGCGGTGGCGTCTGGCGCCCAGTAGGCACCCAGCAGACACCTGTTGAGCCAGTGAATGTTCCTGATGTCCAGAAGTCACGCTCTGCGGGGCTGACGGGACCGGCCCTCTCACCGGCGCACGAGCAGCCCTGTGAGCATGACTCGGGCAGGCCTGGGTCCCCTGCCCCCGACTTGCCTCCAGTTCCCCTGCTCCCAGGCGGAAGAGGAGGCCGTGCTGGGAGACGCGGGCGCTCCCCTCACAGCTGGCCTTTCTTCCTTGCAGGGAGAGCTAATCACCTTCTATTACTACTGGAAGAAAACCCCCGAAGCAGCCAGCTCCCGGGCCCACCGCAGGCACCGCAGGCAGGCGGTGTTCAGGAGGATTAAGACCCGCACTGCGTCCACGCCCGTCAACACGCCCTCCAGACCCCCATCCAGTGAATTCTGTAAGTGGGGGCTTTGGGCACCAGCCACGCGCTCAGTGTCCAAGCTCAGGGCCTGCCCTCATGGGCAACCTGGGCACAGCTCGTGTGTGTGCGATGCCTGACCTCGGCGTCAGTAGGGAGAGTTTTACAAATTATTCGTACATTTAAATTTTTCTGATAAGCTCAACATCATTTTTATGTTTTACATAAATGTAAGTCTTGGCCTTAGGTGTTTTTGATAATTTCAGAAGTGTTCTCCCTCAGCGGATGGTGTGCTGTGTGCATTCTCACTGCGCTAGTATGGTGGCCACAGTATGATCAGAGTAACAATTTCTTCCTACTTTACCAAGATCAGTCTCTTGGTCCTGGAGTGCCTCGTAATCTGAGATGACAGCAAAGCCCAGCCTTCTTATCCTCTAAAAATCAGAAAATAGTGCCTTGTGGTTCTGCCTTGGCCCAGGGCACTCACCTTGAGGGCCGCTTATGATGCTTCTGTAAATAAGAAATAATCCAGTAGGGCCAGGGGCTGGGGCTTGAGAGGGAATTGCTCAGGGTGCCTGGGCATGTCAGGGAGGCACAGTATTTGAGTTCACCAGTTGTAGGTGTTGGTGCCGGCCACCCCAGGGTTGATGTGTAACATCGGCACCCCCCTCCCCAGCTGGCAGGGCAGGCCCTTGGGCACTGCCCCTGAGTTCTTCCTTCTGATGACTGGCTGACTGGCCTGGGGAAATTCAGAGTAGTCCTTCCTGAACACTGCCCCACCTCAGCCTCCTGGGCCGCCCTGACTGTTGGCTCAGAGTCTGGGGCAGGTTGGAAGTAATAAGTGGCCCCAGGCTTGGCTGAGCATAATGGTG